TACCAAAAAGTCAAAAGAAGAAATTGAAAAAACAAGAAAAGAAGAAAATAGAAAAAGTTGATCAAGAAAACAAGCATACTGAGAAAGCAAACAAGGCAATCAAAAGGAATGCGACCAATCACAGACTTTGCGACAGACAAACAAGAAAAAGCTGTTATTGAATCTGCCTCCGTAGCGAGGCAAAACTTTGCCACTAGCAAAAGAAAGAAACTCACCGAGAGCGGTGAAAAAAACGTGGAAAAGAAAGAGAAAAAATCTGATTCTGTAAGTTGAGCCCTTTAGTATTAAGTCCTTAATCACATTTTGAACTGAACTAATTCTAGATGTAAATAATATCTTATCTAATTAAAGAAAATCAAATAAAAAAAAAATAATAATAATAATAAAATAAAATAATAATTAAAAAAAAAAATGATAAGAAAACAACATAACAATCCTTTACATTTAGTTTCATTGAATGTCAGAGGACTCAGGGATATTTACAAAAGGAGAAAAGTTTTTAAGTGGTTCGATGAACAAAAAGCCGATATCGTTTTCCTACAAGAAACGCATTATGCCAAAACATCTGTTAATGTTTATGATTTATTGTGGAAAGGAACATCGTTCCATAGTTTTGGAATATCTAACAGTAGAGGTGTTTCTATTTTATTAAAACCTGAATTAGATATAAAAGATATAAAATGCAAATATATTGACAAAGATGGAAGACTACTTATCATAAATTTAAAATACAAAAAAAATATTTTTAATCTGATAAACGTCTACGCCCCAAATAACTACAAAGAAAGATTATTATTTTTTAAGAAACTAGATTAACATCCTTTGCAACGGTAAAGATGAGTACACGTTAATGGGTGGTGATATGAACTGTATATTACAATATAAACTTGATCAGAGAAACAGTATAAACCTCAGCTATGACAAATCCCCACTGATGCTAAAAAATTGCATGACCAAACATAATCTTTCCGATATTTGGAGGAAATGCAATAAAAACAAAACACAATTTACATGGAGAAGAAAAAATACGTACAAAAGGTTGGATTTTCGGTGCATATCTAACTCCCTATACAAAAATGGTGAAGTAATAAACACCGATATAAGACCGTCTATCTTTTCAGACCATCAAGCCATATCACTTAGAATTTTAAATGATGAAGAAAAAAGAGGGCCCGGAATTTGGAAGCTAAATAATAGCTTTTTAAATGAGGAAGAATATACCTTTAATATTTTAAAGTTAATAGAAAACACAATAGAAAATGAATATCATCTTAATCCAGCATTACTTTGGGAATACCTAAAAGTAAAGATTAAAGAATTTTCATGTAAATATGGTAAAAAAAAGAAAAAACAAAAAAATGAAAATAAAGAAAAATTACATAAAGAAATCATAGAATTAACTAAGCAATTGGATATTGCCTAAGATAAGAAAAGAGATAAACTATTAAGAAATAAAATAAACGACTTAGACAATATATACTTATTTGAGGCTAAAGGAGCACAAACTAGATCTAGAATACAGTGGATTGAAAAAGGAGAAAAAAACACAAAGTTTTTTATTGGGCTTGAGAAAAACAATGCGAAAAAGAAACGCATCACATCTGTTTTAAAAAGCAATGGAAATTATACCACAGACACTAAGGAAATTCTTAAAGAACAAGTAAACTTCTTTAAACAACTTTATCAAATAAAAGAAATTCCTGACTCAAACATCCACAAATATATCAACAGCTCCGTCGTCAACACACTGTCATTCGAAGATAAAAATAAATGTGAAAGTCTATTAACACTTGAGGAATGTAAAAATGCAGTTTTTAAAATGTGTTTAAATAAAAGTCCAGGTACAGATGGACTAACAGTAGAATTTTACCGTAAATTTTGGGATGCAATTAGTTGCACAATGTGTGAAGCCCTTAACTTTAGTTATGTAAATGGTAAATTATCAACAACACAACGAAGAGGTATTATAACTTTATTGTATAAAAAAGGCGAGCGAGAAAAGTTAGACCAATAACACTTCTAAATGTTGATTACAAAATAGCCGCTCACGTACTTGCAAAGAGAATGCAATCTGTAATAAGTACAGTAATTAACCATGACCAAAAGGGATATATTCATGGAAGATCTGCGGGTGAAAGCATTAGATTGATCGAGGACTTACTTGAATATACAGACACTAATAATAAAGAGGGAGCTTTAATTTTTATTGACTTCGAAAAGGCCTTCGACTCTGTAGATAGAAACTTCATGCTCAAGTCTCTAAAATATTTTGGCTTTGGAAAACAATTCATACATTGGGTAGAGGTAATGTACACCGATACAGAAAGCTGCTGTATTGATAATTGGTGGACATCAGAGAGTTTTATTATGAATAGCGGGATACGCCAATGATGTCCTATGTCGTCTTTATTATTTGTTTTAGTTGTAGAGTTAATGGCAATTAACATAAGAAACAACCCTCTGTGTAAAGGCATTAAACTGCCGTCTTCAAACGAGGTTCTGAATACTGTTAAAATAGCACAACTTGCTGATGATACTGTGATCTTTGCAAAGGATGAAAATAGCATAGCTAGTTTCATTAAAGAAATTGAATTGTTTTGTGAAGTGTCAGGTTTGAAACTGAATAAAAATAAAACTACATTTTATAGGAATATGCTTTATGTATGTGTCAAATACAATAATATACATGCACCCACAATGCATCTGTGAAGTAAAAAAGCAAAGGCTTTGGGAAAATAAATTTATTCAGTTAAACGGAAAACCTCTTTTTTGTAAAACATGGGTAGAATCAAATTTTAAAATCATGAATGATACAATTGTAAATAACCGACTAATAAATATTGATGTGATAATTCCAAAATTGTCAAAAACGCCAAACACACTAATAGAATATGTGGCATTAATTAATGCAATTCCGAAAATATGGAAAGAAATTATTTTAAACCAATCTGTTTGTGTATTACATGGTGAAAAAGAATGTCAATCCAACGACACTATTATTTAAAAAAAACAAAAAGTTAAAGATTTTTACTTGTCATTCGTTAATGACAAATATATTGTACCAAAAGCTCAAAGTAAATGGGAAACTACTTTACAAATCAACACAATCGACTGGCCACTGTGTTGGAAAAACAAAGTGGATTCAATGATGCATATGAAAAAAATTGCTCATTTCAACTATAAATTAATACACAGAATCTTACCTACACGATCTAGACTTAAACTTTGGAATATATCGAACAACAATCTTTGTGAGTTTTGCAATATACAGGAGGATGAAGAACATATGTTATTCAAATGTAAGGATATAGAATTATGTTGGGTAAAGCTTTATCGTATGTTACAAATATGCAATTTTGATATAAATGAAAAAATAGAATGGAATAAAATTGTCCAAGGATGCTATGCTGAACGAACAAATGCAATTCTATCTATTTCTACATTCTGTATCAATAAAAGTAAAGTTAAGTACAGACTCGGACTTGGGAAACAATGTCCTTGGGTTATGTTTTTATTGGAATTAAAGAGTTTAATAAGCTGTGTTTTCTTAATTAACAATGAAAAAGCAAAAAAGAAATGGTCAATGATTGACCTTAACAAAATAAAAAAATATTATATTGGTTAAACTTGGTGAAAACAATTTCACCATATTATAGTCTGAAGGGAAACTATTTCGAAAAAAATAATGTAGCCTATAAATATTGTATATACACTGTAGTGTTTATAAATACAAGCGAACAAACTTTAAAAAAATAGGCTTAAACAAAAGCTTGACCTTTTATTATATCCTTTATTAAAATGACAGAAAACAAATAGAAAAAAAAATGGCATGGTAATTGTACACCTTGACCGATGTGCATAAATTTCAAGTGAAAGTAAAAAAAAAATAAATAAAAAAAAATTGTTAAAGATATTTAAAGAAGCTATATTGAACAACTTTTTACAAATTATACTGTGTATGCTGAACTTATGAATAAAAGTGGGACGACCCCACAAAAGAGAAAAAAAAAATGTTGGCATCTCTTATCACTGCAAGGTTTATTACCTTGATCCGGGTGATGGTTGGGACAACGTAATCTAGAATAGTGGTTCCCAACCTGAGGTCCGAAAAATAATTAGGGGTCCGCCAAGTCCAAGGGTCCGCAGGGAGTCTGCGAAAAATATTGGGGTCCGCTAAATTTTTAGACCAATTTTTCATGATTCCTTTATTGTTATCGTCTTAAAACAGTGTAATATTCACCTTTCTGCTAATGAGGTACATTATCAATAATGAAATATATTTGACGTATTATGGCTTCTTCACTGTAAATTGTTTTAACTGGCCATCATATTTTAATTCCAATATTTTATTGCTGATTTGTTAGAACTTTGTATGCAGTGGTTTTTATGTATTGTACTTTTATGTTTAGTAGTTCTATTTTCTTTATGGTATAGGAGAGGCTCTTGATAGTGCTTGCACTTTTGGCAATCCTCAAACCTTGTTTGCTGTTTTTTCTTGTATTCAATTGCTTTTACCTGGATATTGAATAAGTATAAAATTCAGGAGGAGCCCTTGAGTTTTACAAAATTTAAAACAAATAGGGGATAAAAGAAAATAACATTCAAATTTTGAGTCTGAGAGTGACATTTCCGGCCATAAGTGCCATACACACAAAAGTGGTATCGACCCCATCTTTAAAATTGAATTTCTGACACCTCCTCTGTTTCGAATTCCGGGGTAACAACTTTTTACTGCTGTATATATATATATATATATCATGAGTTTTCTCATTCCAGAAGTTGTTCTGTGTTGGTTATTTGTTTGTTACCATGATAATTAAAGTTTGTTAAGTCTGATTGGCTTCAAACTTTGCACAATGCAAGATGGTAATATAAAAACACAGAGCCTATTGTTTTTGGTACATGTGTGAATATGCTAATTTTTCATTTGCATAATTAATATTTAACTTATCAGGTAATTTACCGTAAAACCTCGAATAGAAGCCCAATGGGCTTAATCTCGAGAAGCCCATCTGGAATTGCAGTCCCCTCTTTAGTTTGCAAGAGTAGCCTTAAAAAGGAGCCCATGGGTTTCTTTTCAAGATTGCACGGACTTCGTTTCGAGATAGTACAGTACATACACTGTACATGAATTTCAAAGAAACAATATAAATTAGTAGTAAAGTTAATTTAATGCCTGTTAATACACTCCATGATACAGATTGGTGTTACAGTGGCCCTACAGTATTTATTGTTTTATAGTAGTAATTACCAAAATTTACAGCATTCATTTTGAAAACAAGCCCCCTATTTACTTAGTGCAAAAATAGCCTCGAAAAGAAGCTAATCTCGAAAAGAATCCCATCCAAAGTTCGCAACAAAAAAAGGAAGCCCAGGGCTTCAATTTGATGTTTTACGGTAGGCTAATTACCATGATAACAAAAGTTTGGTAAGTCTGATTGGTTTCAAACTTGGCAGAATGCAAGATGGTAATAAAAAGACTGAGCGTTGTTTTTGGTACTTGTGTGACTATGCTAATTGCTTATTTGCATAATTAATATTACACTAATCTGAATATTTATGCTAAATACCATCATAAATTCCCCATCCAAAAAAAAAAAAAAAATATGTGAAATTGTAATATTTTTTCATGATGTTGTCGTCGCTTTATAGTAAATTGTTTGTTACCACGATAGCTGAAGTTCGGTAAGTCTGATTGTTTTCAAACTCCTACTTTTCAATTCTCAGAGAAAAACCACACCTTGGGGAGGCTACGGTTTTACTGCGCAGCGTAAAAGGACCATTTCTATTTTATAATCTTTTTTCCAATTGCAGGTGATAGTGACCTTTTCTGCTTTAAACAGTCATGGATAACTTAGAAAATGAAAATGAGAAACGCATCCGTGCAAGTGTGTATGATCACTCAAGGGCTGTGCTTGTGAAGCCTAGAAACGGCATAAAGAAAAGACTGAGACGCACAAAGTCTGAATTTAAACGAACTTGTAGTGACGAACCGAATACAAAGACAAGAGCGAAAAACCCTCGACGATCAATCCTAAAAACTTGCTGGAAAGACAATGACCAAAAGTTGAAGGATGCGCAGCTATTCATTTATCTCCCACTTCCTTACAGAATTATTTGCTTACACAATGTTAATTTACATCAACCAGTAAATGAAACTGTAGTCAAGATTGCTAATTTACTTATGATTGATGACAGATTGGTAAACCTATATGCATTGAACAATTTTAAAGTAAGATTTCTCTGCCTGTACTCTTCAATACTAGTTTATCACTTGTATCTAAAGCCCAATAACCTAATATAATGTGTAACGATGTTACAATGTTTGACGGCATTAAATAAAATCAATTCTTTTTCTTCTGATCGTTAAATCTTGAGCCATGAAAATTTTAATTTTATTTGGTAAAAGGATATAACATATTACTGTACCATTTAGCATTGCATTAAAATTATGATGGGAATAGTAGGGGTGAGATTGAATGATTTTATTTTTTGACTTTTCCTATTGGGGTGTCAGCATTTGAAACCCGATATTTTGAAACCCGGGCTTTCCAAAAATCTGCATCCGTAATTTTGAAACCCGTACATTCTAAAACGGGGGGTGAACATCACTGTGACATTGGTTAGGCCTACCCATAAATCATACAGTAATGCACGGAAGATGTTGACCGATGGAACCATCGGGCATTAGCCGTTCCCTCGTGAATAATTTTCATCAACTGAAGTTTTTATTTTTAAACGTATTGAGAGTTGTGGGTCATCTATCAAGAACATCTTGAGTGTTGTACAATCAGCATTGACAAGGTCCGTGAAAACGTGAAGAAGGACTATGTAGAACACAAAATCCGATTGTGCCGTAGCATTTACGTACGAGCGGCATATACATCTTTTTTCGTGTTCTATTATTTGTTTCAAAAAGTTTTGAGTTTCAAAAGTTTCGGGTTTAATGTTTTTTTTCTGTTCTGTAATTTGGCATTTTAGTGCAGTGTTGCCAAATACAAGGAACAAGCCAGCAAAATTTATGATTATTATAATTTCGAGTGCTAATCTATAACGTGTTCTATTGGCAGTTAGAGAGGCTACTGAGTTTTCATGACCAGGGTGTTGTAGACCAGGGAAATATTTTCGTCAAACTCACAGAAGGACTTAAAGGAGGAGCAGACCACCCTGAAGAGGATATTGATAGCCAACCTACGATTAAAGAAAAGAAACGTGATGAAAAGTTTGAGGAAGCTGGAATCATGCCCAAGAAAAATGAAACTGGTAACAATATCTCAGGATAGAGGGTGGATGATAAGATACTTAAATGAAAAATAATATGAAATCATGGTAACAAGAATGAGTGTATGGCAGTTGAAAATACAATGTTCCTGGTCTACCTAATAATATTTTTTTATCTTTTTATCTTCGTTCATACAGGGTTAAGCAATGTTTTATCTGATGATATTATTCGTTCGCTGTCTTCAAGAGTTGGCATCAACTGGTACGCATTGGGTTCAGAACTTAAAATTGATGACGATATATTGGATGGAATTTCTGAGAAATCTTCAATTCCACCAGCCAAACAATGCCGTTGCATGCTTGAATACTGGAGAGGTCACTCTCAAGAAGGAATTTCCCAGTATGATTTACTCTTAAGGGCACTAGAAGGGGTGACTGGCGGAGAGAAAGCGCTAGACTTTTTAAGTAAGACACAGTTTACATTGACAACAAATGCCGCTTTACTATTATGTAAAGGTTAATATGTCTTACTGTTCTTGTTTTGTTCACTTTTGATAGAAAAAGAAATGTTTCCAGCGATGGCAGTGGTCCGAAATAGTCCACCAACAGCATGTCAAGACGAAATTGGTGAGTGTAAAGTGCAATTAGTTCCAATATGTGAAAAATACGACAATTTAGGCCTACCAGATTAGGTACCATTACTATTATTAACATCATTTAATGCTATATTATCATTATTGGCTTTTCCAGTTCCAACAGTAGCGGAAAGCCATGGTTTCTGTTCAGATATTCTCGCTTTTGCCGCATTACCAGAAAAGCCTTATTTTTTCTGATTATTTTTGGCTTTTCCCGCACTAGAGGAAAAGCCATTGTTTTTGTACTGATTTATGGCTTTTTGTCGCGTTAACGAAAAAGCCATTGTTTTTGTTCTATGTTTGGCTTTTCCCCAGTTAGTGGAAAAGGCATTCTTGTTCAGGTTTTGATTCTTTTTTTTTTTCTTTAACCGTTTTTTCTACGTTTTTACACAGGGTTTTTTTTAAAACCATATTTATAGAGGGTGACCCTTCCAGCGTATCCAACAAGGTCAGCTGATATTTAGGGGCCCTCTTTAAATAAATGAAATAATGTGATGCTTTTATCAGCGAAGGCTTAGGGAGTGGAGTTGTTTTTGTCGTGAGAGAAAGTCCTGTCGTGACAAGAATTGAACCCAGGACCTTGGGATCAGAGGCAAGCACCTTAACCACTGAGCTATTCAACTCCACTCCAACTGTCTCGAACTTTGGTCACTTACCGTGCTGGGATCTTCAAACTTTGTCCAAGCAAAGACCATAAATCAAATATATTTTAAATTAATAAACGGGTAATTAAACAGTTATAAACGCAATTAGAAAAGCCGTTTTTTGTACTGGTTTATGGCTTTTCCCACGTTAGCGTAAAGCCATTGTTTTGTTCTATTTTTGGCTTTTCCAACGATACTGGAAAAGGCATTTTTGTTATTTATGTTCGGATTTTTATTATTTTTTCTTCTACGTTTTTTCTATGTTTTTGCACAGGGTTTTTCGGGTAATTAAACTGTTGTATTAACGCAATTGGAAATGCAATTGTTTTTGTACTGATTTATGGCTTTTATTTAAATATATTTTTAATTATTAATGGTGGGTAATTTGTTTTGTTAACGAAATTTCGTTTTTTAAAGCTTTTCAAGCTCCAATGCATGAACAATTCTCGTCCTTCTGATGAACATTATGCAAGATGGATAGTTAAACTACATTATTTTATATCAAGATAAAATAATGTAATTTTATATACATAGACCTAAGTTTAATATTACATTTTTGGATTATGAACTCAGTCCCTTTATCAGATACATGAATCTCTATCTTCAAATAATATGTTCCTACTCTCCCTTGTTATCATCATTACAACATTTAGTAGTGTTATTATTTTTTGGTTATTTCGTAATTTTACTCGTTTTCCTTTTTGTAATGTATTGTTAATATTTCTATATGTAATTCAATATTTGTGTTTGTTTTTTTTATATTTCTCATTCCATGTTTTTTTATATCTTGTAATGCAAAAATTTCAGACTTGTTCTGCTTTTTGTAATATTTTTTATACCTGAATAAAATAAAATAATTTTTTTTCCCTTTTAAGATTATAGATTTCAAGGCACGAACGCTATCGACTCGGCTACATTTGGAGAAAAACACAGAATAAACATTACGGATAGAGCCCATGTTGGTAACATTGCAACCAATCCTATTGCAGAAAATTTTTTTCAAGGGACAAACATTATACAACTACCCGAACCAACAGGTAAAAAATCTGTGGTTAAATTTTTAAAAATAACTGCAAAACCAGTACAACCACTGATATAGATTCAAACGAAAAATGCCCCGTTCATCCTTCATGGCTTGAAACTTAATGTATCTCTACCTAATAAGAAAAGTATGAAAATATGATGTCAATTATGCCTGATTATGTCTAATTAATAGTAAAAAGGTCTGATTTAAATAATGTGGTTTGCAGTATATATTTTATTTTCCTGTCAGTACTATAATTATTAATATTACACGAAAATACTTAAAGTGCCCAGACACTAAAACGTGCATGTATTTTTGTACTTCAGAAGAAAAAAAAGCAAGAAACAGAAAACACGAAGTCGAAAAGATATGTAAGTGTTTTGTGTATGGGGTAAAAAAGTTGTGATGAATTTATAGTTACAATAAATGTTGCTTGTCGTAAGCAATCCTAATTTGGTAACATTTTTCTACAACCGATAATAAGATTATTATAAACATTTGGTGTTAACAAATTGTTTGCTAACATACAAACAGACATTGAAATTTGATAATGGTTTATAACAAAATAACAGTAATTTTGATAAAAATGAATTTTAGAGCGTAATAGAATGAATGAGGACATTGAGAACACACTTTTATTTCTAGCCCAAGAGTTGGGAGACTACATTCAAGAAGCATTAAGAGAGAAATATGAATATGGAACCTTTATGTGTATAACACCTCATCAGTGGGCTTCACATCGGAAAATTGATCTTGAACAACTTTTCACGAATATGGTTATGTTTCAAAATCCCCGTGATGGAAACGAAAACAACGCAAAACCAATAACTATCGAAGAAATAGCAAATCCTTACAATGTGATACAACCGAAAACAAGACTAGAGGGAGAAAAAACTGAGACAAAATATTCTAGGCGTGTTCTTGTACAGGGAGAACTTGGTTATGGTAAGACAAGTCTTATGAAAAAAATTGCTCATTTATGGGCAACCAATCCTAAGGAAAGTCCATTTTCTAAATTCTATGTTGTATATCTAGAACTGAGACAAATGAACACGCAAAAAAGCACTGACTTTGTAGACCACGTCATACACCATGCATTTCCGAAAGATTTTGTAGAGAAACATTGTACAACTGTTAGTATTCTAAGACAGTATATAATTTCACACGATAAACAATTTGTTTTCCTATGTGATGGTTATGATGAATTAAGAAGAGACTCCGAATCCCAGATGTTGGATGCCTATATTGGGAATTCTCAACGAAAAAGCATAATTATATTAACGACTAGACCTGATAACATGGATAAATTGACTGAACACTGTCTATCACATATCAAAATTAGAGGGTATACGAAGGAGCATCAGCAGGAATACATAACTAAGTTTTTCAAAGAGGAACCGGATAAAGCAAAATTACTGATTAACAAGCAAACTCTTCAAAACTTCAGTCATGTTTTCGAAATGGCCAAAACACCACTTTTTTTGTTTTATATATGTACTTTGTGGAAAATAAGACAAACTTTACCACTGACAGTTGTCGAGCTTTTTCGAGAATTAATGGTTTGCAAAGTCAATCAGTCTGTTAGGAAGAAATGTGGCGAAAAGTACCAAGCAAGAAAAGTGGGACGTTTTGATGAAATAGGGGATGAATTTCGCAATGCTATGATATTTACTGGAGAGGCCATTCTAACTGCCCTATTTGAAAATAGGCTTCATGTTTATGAAGATGATCTTAACAACAAAAAAGAACTTATCAGGGATTCTGTTAAATATGGTCTAATAAAGGAAGAAACCAGCCAGTCTGAATTAAGCTACCAAACATCTTTTTCAACTATACACAAATCTGAATCTGAGTTTCTTGCAGCATTTTACATTGCAGAAGCAATACGGAATGGTGAAAACATGAAAGATGAAATCAACAAAATGCTAAAAAGCACTCGCATGTTGCAAGTATGCAAATTTACAGTAGCTCTCCTAAAAGATCAAGCTCATCTTTTTCTCGATTACTTTCCGATCAGTAAACTTGATTGCTCGTTTTTGGCTGAGCTTTTAGAAGAATGCCCCGACAGTGAAGAATCAATTGTTCTTAATTCCATAAATTCAAGAATGAATGAAGTTGAAGGTATCAAAATAAACAATCCTATTGGGGTCAGTCTTTGTAAGAAATTGAGTAACTTTACACAGACAAGGACAATAAGTCTAAGCATTAGCTTCATCGATTTTGATGGAGAAGACATTGTCTCAATTCTGCAAAACTTGCCATCGTTAAAAGATTTTATTTGGCAAGGAGTAAAAGATAAACACATGAAAACGTTTGTTATTTCGCCTCCATTTTCATTCAATTTAGAAAAAATAATTATGTTTGGAAATGTAAAACACCCAGATGCTTGTAGAAATTTGGCGAGGTTTCTGTATCATTGTAAGTCATTGAAAGAGCTTTGTCTGCCAGTGATAGCTTATGGATCGGGCCTGTATTTGTTTGTCTCTTTACTTTATGGACACGAACAATGTCACCAAGCTGTACCAGGCGATAGTCACCTCAAAAGAGCCAAGTATATTAGCATGCAACGCATATCCTTTTCTCTTAAAAAGACATTTGAGCTTGAACACAGAGTAATTGCATATGTATTTCTTGTCAGTAGATTTATTTTGCTTTGTCCATTCGTGAGACAGATTGTCATAAGTCATCCAGATGAGCTGAATTTTAGAGAAAAGCTGTTCATAGAACTTACTGAACTATGTGCCTTTCGAGAGTATACAGAAGTGTGTCGTTCTTCCATAGATCAATCTCACACGATTGAAGGTATATTGCAGACACCGACACAAAATCTAGAGTTAATGGTAACAGTTGCCTTTTCTGGTGAATATATTATGGAAATCAATATTGACGTCGAAGAGGTACAATCTACTTCAGAAATAAATTGCCAGGATCTAAAGTGGTTATCAGTACCTTTCCAAAAAATTCCAAAAAGCAGGGTTGCTGATCCCTGTACAGTATTACATATTTCTTGGCACAAAAACCTAAATTTGAACTCGGAACCCGGCGATGTTGGCAAATTTGTTTCTTGTTTATGTAAAAAAAAAGGTGTGATATCCTTAACACTGCCATGCGAAGCATTGTGTTTTGGAATTTTCAGTGAAGAAATAAATGACGTGTATGTTGATAAACTAATATTTTCTCTCAGTGAACTTACGACAGACGAGCTTAGCCGTCAGAATTATGTGACCGAGATTGGAAATATTTTGCCTCATTTTGCCACTATAAACACCATTGGACTTCCACCTTTACACAATGCATGTACTTTGCCATCTGTGTCTAATGTTATGTTAAGTGCGTTGGGCAACCTACGAAAAATTATAATATCAATACCAGATCCAGACACAAATATGCAAACTTGTGAATTGCTTACCAACGTGATCAGACAAATCCCTACGTGCTGGTTCAATCAAATGGACTTTAATAGTGATGGCACCCTGTTATTTTCATTACCAACTACGCGAACCTATGATAAGTCTGTTGTAAGGCAAACACGAGATAAACGTCAAACGTCAGTAGACATTGTCACATTTGGTTTAGGTGTTAATCTGTATGGATTTAAGCCATGTCATATTAGATACATGGTTAATTTACTTAAAAAAGTAGACAGTGCCTTAGAACTCAGGAAAGTGTTCATTCATCCTAGCATAATGTTTACAAATCCATTTGCAACAAGATTGATGTCTGCATTCAAACAAATTCAAATGGTAAAGTTTAATGCACTTGCTGAAGACGTCAACATCAGCAATAAGACCAATATTCTTTGTCGAATAAAGGGCATGTGCATCGATAATCTAAAAATAAATGGTTGGTTGGAAATGTCGAGAAATGAACTCATAGAAGCTGTAAAGGAGTCACAGTTTACAAAAGATCCCATTGCTGACTGGATCTCTTTGTTTCCTATATTAAACGAATTCAATTCGGATGTACGTTTTCATGTTTCATGTTTTACATCTAAACTGAAGTCTTTAAAGACATCATCTAGCGATCTAGAAAGTTTGGTTAAACTTTTGAAAGATTGTTCATCTCTCTGTAAAATAGTATTTAAAAAATGCATTGGCTCATCCCTAGAATTCCAAAACTTGTTAGAACATTGTAAAACGCATGGTGTGGTTCTACATACGTTGGATTCAATCCAGTTTGAGGACCTGGAATCCATTGATTGTAGATTGGTGCGTCGACTACTTGACTTCTTTCCATCTGTCTCTAAGATGATATTTCACAACATCAGCTTCATCAAGACTGATAATTGTACGACCAATATTTTGGTAAACGCATTACCAGCTAACGTTGTGTCCTCACAAGTTAGCACAGATAGACTGACTGATTTAGTTTTTAGTGGCAAAGAAGTTAATGGCTCAACCGTTGCTGAACTACTTTTTAGTTCTCCTCATCTCTGCAATGTCGATGTGTCTGAGAGCATATTTGATGAATCTTGTTTCATTGAGCTTATAGATGATATCACAAAACGCCAGACGTTTGTTCATGATAATTTAAAAACGTTAAAACTCGGTCACTTCCGCGTAACTGATAGGAAATCTGCAAAAGTAGGGAAGTTGTACAGTCAATTTTTACTCCAAATGCCTAATCTTACACGTGTTGATATATCTAGGTTTAAAATGGGCGCGTACTTCCTCGCACAGTTTCTGGATTATTTCAATCAGAATGAAAATCGCCATTTAGGCCTAAAGCATCTGGATGTTTCAGGACATCGTTTAGAATCAAAAGTAATGATATCATTTCTTGATTTCTTAAAGCGTCTTCCTGAATTAAATGTACTTAGTGTAGCTATGTGTCGCATCTATTCTCATGCTGGACAGCTTTTCGATTACATGTGCCAAAGAGAAAAGCGTCTGCGAATGTTAGATTTTTCAGGATCACATTTTATGTTTGAGGAACAAAAGATACTGTTCATTTCGGAAATTCTACGTTTTGCCACTAATGAACAAGAATTACACTTAAGAAAATCAAGACACAATTTTCTTGGTGGAGTAGCTCGTGAGTTAAGGACGCGCAAAATTGAATCTTATCTCCGATGTCTTAATCTTAGTCATTCTCGTTTATTAGACATTGCCACGATCGCAAACTTTGTAACTTGCCTTTGGCGTCTAAGGGTACTTATTATGCGTGACTGCCAGTTCACTGGACACTCTCTACAAACATTTACCGACTGCATGCAAACCTCTAGAAATGACGATATCATTCCAGAACTTCTTGAATTTGATATATCGTCTTCGGACTTCAGTGCACCACAATCAGGAGCTTCAATAGTTTCCGTTATGATAATTTTTCCAAAACTTGAGGTTCTAAGGCTAAACTCATGTAAAATGACAGACACTGTTGTTGATAATATTTTGATAGAACTAAAACACAAAACTGCGAACAATTTAACTGCAAAAAACTTAAGAAGTCTGGTTATTTGCGATAATACTTTGTCCCATCCACTGGCATATGCCATTAATATTGGTAAATACTTGCCTGTGTCGTGTAAAGTTAAAGTTTCATCGGATTCAAACAGAACACCAGACAAAGACAATAAATTAAACCCTGCAGGCCTCATTGCGTTTGAGAAATTGTTTCAAAGGCTTATGTTATATACAATTGGCGTAGATACATCGGAGAATATGACTGATGTCATTGATGACTTGATTGGATTGGATTTATACCAAGGATAGCCCACAACTCTAAGGGCTTGTTTCCAGCGGTGTCCTTCTAGTAGTGATTGATAGTACACTGGGAGACAATCCTCAACATTCCGAAGTGACGATACAATTTACTGTGTAAATTTGAGGGTCATCTAAATTTCTGACGTCCCAGGTTTATTTCAATAAACCTATCAATGGATCTAAATGAAACTTTCCATAATAGTTTGTCATGGTCCAGTAAAGAAATGTATATTTTCTTTTCATTTTTATGTTTACTGGTGTTTCTGCTGTATTTGAAGAAGGACGACAGTGACGGACTCGCCAGAGTTTCCATGTCGTCCCTTGACCATTTTTTATGTTTACTGTAACTTTCATTTGTTTAATTTCCATGCATGTTTATAAATTGTCCAATAAATGTTGATTAAAGGAAAAAAATAGTGAAAAATGATTAAATTAAAGGGATTACAGGGAAACGTCCCAGATCAGATATCTCAAAAACTAATCTACTGATCTGAATGAAACTTTCTTGAACATTTAACACATTAAACCATGTTACAAAGAAGAAAATATTACATTTTACTGACCATCCAGATTCATGTGTGAATATGAGGATCATTTAAAGTGCTAAGGTCTCAGACCTAAATATATCTAGAAACTTATCAATGGCTCTAAATAAAACTTTCTAGAATAGTCTGTCATATTCATATAAAATATGTTTCAATTTTGGTGACAATCCAAAATGTAGGATTTGGATATGAGGACCATTTAAAGAATATTTTTAAACTGGTAATTAAACTATATAAACACAATTTTCGTTTTTTAAAGCATTTAAACCAGCTGCAGCTAGGTTAACCGCAAAATTACTGTGAAATGCATGAACAATATTTGCACTTTTGTCACTGTGTTTTGTCTGTGTTCTTCAAGCTTGACGTCATTCTAAACATTTTGAATAATAATAGCAGTCATAGTTCGAGTCTCCCTGACGTCGAGTTTTATTTATTTTTTTTTTGTAATTTCAACATCACTTCTCGTTATGGCAATGAGAAAAGCCTTATGTTCTGTTTACAAACAGACTTAGTAAGTACATTTTTTTTTTTTTTTTTTTTTTTTTTTTTGAAATTTTCAAATTACCAATAAATATTGTGGGACAATCGAAGAAAATGTCAGACATTTACATTTTTTTTAGAAGAGTTAATTGTTTAAAAAATGTGTTTATAAGTAGCCTTGCATATAGTGTAATACAATTGTTTAGTTCAATTCCATCCTTTTATAAATATCCACCTTTCGCAGAAGCGTTTTAGATGTAAGTTAAACTGGTTTTTTTTTTCTCGTTTCTTTGTATTGTGCCGTCTTTTGTTTCACACCAAGCTGTAAGTTCCAGATTTGTAATTAATTACCTTAATTAATTTGTACAGTAATTTTGCATTTAACCTAGCTGCAGCTGGTTTAAATGCTTTAAAAAACGAAAATTGTGTTTATATAGTTTAATTACCGGTTTAAAAACATTCTTTAAATGGTCCTCATATCCAAATCCTACGGAAACCTTTTCGAAACCTTATATAATGATGTATCTTCTATTGTTGTAATTAATGGTTTTCTAAATAAACTCTTTGAAATAAAAAGAGAATTTGGACTCCCCTCTCTCCATACCTGTTTTTATTATGCACCGAAATACTAGCCATTATGTTACGCAGCAGTAAAAAAAAATAAAGGGATTTAATATAAATAATATTGAATATAAGGTGCTATGTTTGCAAATGATACTATAATCCTTTTAGACGGAACCGAAAGGGCTTTGAGATCCTCCTTATTTATTTTGGAAGAATTTAAATCAATGTCTGGTCTTAGAATTAATATCGATAAAACTCAGACTGTATGGATCGGATCCAAATTAAATAGTACAGAGATTTTATGCAAGGATACTTTAAATTGCTGGGAATCCTGTTTAATACAAAAATAAATAACATAATACAGTTAGTAATACTGTATAACTAAAAGGGATAGCACTCTGAAATGACCGAAAAGGTAAAAAACTTACCAGTTTTGTGTCATACACAACCAGAGGTAGTACCGTCTAGTGACAAAATAGGACAATAGAGGGATAGCACATGTGATAGGGCGGTATGCCCTTTGTTTTGGATTGTTTTGTTTTGTTAAAACTAGGGGTGGTATCTAGACAGTGATGAACCGCCCTTGAATCGAAGCCCTAAGGAAAGCGAAGTATAATGCTACTTGGTAGGTCTAAAAGATACCTTACTGTACTTGAAAGTGTTATTGTTATCAAATCGCAGCTCTATCAAAATTAATTCATCTTTACCAGATCCAAGCGACTATGTCAAGAAACAACTAATAAAATTATATATAAATGTATTTGGCTAAAAGATCCAGAAAAGATTCGTAGAGAACAACTTTCAAATAATTATCAATATGGAGTTGTGAAAATGATTAAAAAAAATTCTAAAAAAAGGGAAAAAACGAAGTATCCAATACAGAACAAATTTTAGATATCTATCTATTGGATAAAAATTATGTATGTAAATTTATGTAGGTCTATTATGATAATTAGAGAAGACAATATTTTACTAATGATTTTAACAATTGGTGTATACATAAAAATGAAATAATGAGATTAAGATTTTTTATTAACAATTTTGTTTATTATAATACCTTTAAAACACAATTTATAAAAATGACTATATAATCTATTGCATAGAAACCTTGTTAATTTTAAATATCCCCAAGCTTTTAAAAACAGAAAATGGTATAATAGAATACATGGTGTTAATGAATGCAATTCCAAAAAACTGGGAAAAGATTGTAGCGCACCAACCTTTTTTGTTTATTGCACAGAAATGTTCAAATTATTGGTACACCTTCCATAAGTAAACTAAAAGTTAAAGATTTTTATGTGTCATTTATAAATGGAAAATATATTATACCAAATGCTCAAAGAGGTGGGAAATGGAGTTAAAAATGGATGCAATAAATTGGGACCTATGTTGGAAGAGTAAAATTAATTATTCAATGTTATATGAAAAAAATTGCACAGTTCAATTTTAAATGTTTACATAGACTGTTACATAGACCTACAAAACATAGACTAAATGTATGGAATCTATGTGAGTATTTTAATATTACTGAAAATTAAGAGCACATGCTATTTAAATGCAAAGATATAGAAGCATGTTGGACGAAATTACAAAGTATGATGCGATCATTTTTAAAAATATATGATAAAGTACAATGAAACAAAATCGTTATTGGAAGCTATAGCGAAAGATTGAACGAACAGATTTCAATTTTGACGTTTTGTATTTATAAAGTTAAAATAATGAATAGATTATGTTTGAAGACAAAATGTCCTTGGGTGATGTTTTTTTTTCTGAACTGAACAGACTAATTACGTGTGAATTTTTAATTAATAGGGAAAAAGCAAAAAATAAATGGTCCATGGTCGATCTTGATAAGTTTAAATCAATATATGTATAAATAAATGTGTGATGGTTGACTTCTACGGAAGACAAAAGAAAATAATATAAAAAAAAAGAAAATAACAAAGAATACAATAGTCGATGTCTGAACACTTATTATGAAGAACAGCAAAGAGACGTGTACTAATTAATTACATAACAGATATATCTTTCATACTATTATCTGCTTAATATATATATTAACTGATGTAGACTGTATGTTATGTATATATCTACGTAGTTGTGACATTATGATGAAATAAAAGTGGGACGATCCCACAAAAGGGAAAAAATGAAACCTTGTTGATTTTGATATTACTGGTAAATATACGTGTATTGTTCTTTTCTTATGTTTGATATTGTATTACATTATTTGTTTATTAACTTCCTATACACATTTTATCTTTATTTATTTGATTTAGATAACTTATGTCAATTTATTTTGGCATATTATAGAAGACAATATTTTATGCGTTAACAATTATTTACACAAGAAAAATTAAATGATGTGGTTATTAAATTTGTTGGTACCTTTGAAAATTTAATTATAAAAATCACCAATATGATTTTATGTTTTATTTAATTAAATTGTGATATAAAAATTTAAAGTCATTCTATCATTTTAAATTATATTTATTCCAAAAATAATATTTATAGTTGAAAGGTTAATGTTTTATTGTTAGATAGTAATACTATTGTTATAAAATTATATACATAGGCCTATATCAAAATTTATTAAAAACTGGTATAAGTAAAATACAAGGTAATGAAAAGGACTTGCACAAAAACACTTTGAAATAGAAGGATATATTGTACTGTATTACTTTGAAGATTATTTGAATAAAGGTGGTGGTTACGACACAAAAAAAAACCATAAAATTATTATGTTAAATTTGGGAATCAGTAATGGGAGTGAGCCTACCAGTAACTAGAAAGTGGTTTATCCAGGAAAAAATTATTTTTACTAAAGATCTGTAATAAGCAATTAGTATAGTTGAGTATCGTAAACTAGTGGAAATTATTATACGAAGGTTAGAATAATGGCCAAAAAAAATGCTCTTGTATGCATCAAGTAGAACGGGGGGTTAGTTATGTTAACCTGGGTATCCTGTTTTGTAATTAGTGGGTGTGTGTGTACAGTATATATAGGCCTATATGTGTGTATATATATATATATATATATATATATATA